AGCGACGGTCACAACTCGCCGTGCGTGCTTTTTGTCCGTACGTTTTTGTCGTGGCTACGTCTGCTACGTTTTTTCTGCAAACGTAGGGTGGCCGGCCGAGGGAGTACGTCACTCGCAAGGTGTACGTACGTGGTCTGCACGACACGCCTGGCCGTCAGCGGTTGCGTGCATCGTACGTTGCGCAAGTGGTAAGTGAGTTGTACGTGCTTACAACGTACGATCTCTGTGCGATTGCCACGTTGCCGCGTACAGGCCGTACCTACACGTGCGGCGTGCGCACGATTTCCTTACTCACTCGCACGTTGTAAGTGCGTGCACCTCCTGTAAACTTCATCATCACTAGCCGCCCTGGTGTCTTCCGCGGCCCGTTTCTTTGGATCTTGTCTGGTAGACTTCTTTTGAGCCTTCCTGGGCACCTTGGAGACGAGTTGGCAGTCGCCCGTCAAGTCGTCTTTATATACTGTAGAAATAAGGTGCGTTGCACGTGCGTTGCACGTGCGGAGCACCTAGTATGGTGCACGTGTGTTCTGCGTGGTCATTGAGCAGGTCAACTGGGAAGTGAGGAGTAAGCACGGATGACGCAAGCACCGTGCGTGGCACTCACGTGCTTCGTGCGCTGTCCGTACAACAATTGCACGTGAGAATAGTGAAGTTAGACTCACGGAGTCCGTACGTTGCACGCTCATAGGCTGTACGGGGCACGCGCGTCGCACGTACTCGCACGCACGGGTGGTAAATCCGCAGACCGCACGTAGAAAAAGTATTACATGCACTTAAGGTTCTACGGCGTGTCTGCGTGCTCCCAAATCCGTAGGATTCCGTACGGAGGCGGTACTCACCACGCACGGATGCCGTACGTTTGCCCACGTTTTTGCACGTAGACAGCACGCAGAAGCACGTACGGCGAGTTGTGACCGTCGCTTTACAGGGCCGCCTAACACTCCCCTCTGGCTCAGCTCCACCGCTGCGGTAATTTAGACAACGGATGAAGGGCTTCTGGCTGCCGAAGGAGCGGTTAGCGACCCGTAAAGCGACGGTCACAACCCGCCGTACGTGCTTCTGCGTGCTGTCTACGTGCAAAAACGTGGGAAACGCAGGGCATCCGTGCGTGGTGAGTACCGCCTCCGTACGGAATCCTACGGATTTGGGAGTACGCAGACACGCCGTAGAACTTTAAGTGCATGTAAAACTTTTTCTACGTGCGGTCTGCGGATTCACCACCCGTACGTGCGAGTACGAGCGACGCGCGTGCCCCGTACGTGCCGTGCGGAAGAAGCACGTGTGAGTACGGCCTCCATGCGGTAAAGTTGCAATCGCACAGAGATCGTACGTTGTAAGCACGTACAACTCACTTACCACTTGCGCAACGTACGATGCACGCAACCGCTCACGGCCAGACGTGGCGTGCACACCACACTCTTACACTTTGCGCAACCGGGCGAGTGACGTGCGAGTGACGTGCGTAGACGCCACTCCTTCCCCACGTTAGCAGACGTAGCCTCCCAAAAAACGTACGGACAAACAGCACGTACGGCGGGTTGTGACCGTCGCTTAAACCTGTCTGGCACCCAGGGTGACAAGTAAAACAAGTGGCAGACTACTCCAAATCGAAGATCTACAATGGAAAACAATTTATTATGTTTACGAAAGGAAAACAAATTGTTTTTGATCCGTTTTTCTTTTTCTCCAAACCAAAAAGGTCAGAGACCTGAACCAGACTGTTACCATGGTAACTAGTGTTTGTGTTATATTCTGTTGCAATTTTATAGCAGGAGGGATTCAGACTCCTGTCTGACGATATATATGAATATGTTTGAGTAAGAATTTTAAAAGAGCAGACCATATATGAAGGTAAACATTATGCATTCTTGTTAGTAAAGCTTTTTAGCGTTGAAGAACAACCTTTATACTATTAGGCGTCTTACATCCGCTCAAGACTGAAGCTAGACTTTGTACGCCTCGGTGAGGCAGCTTTCCGAGCACAGTGGTGCTCTTCAGTACGTTGGGCGAAGGTCGTAGGGGGAAAACTACGCCTGCGGTTTTAATCCCCCGTTCCCTTCTAGTCGTATCAGTTTTTTGTTGTGAAATGTCTGTCTTTTATGTCATTATTTTATTTTGATGTGTCAAGTTGGCAGGAGTGGGTTGGTGGGAGCACTTGGACAGTAACCTGTCGTGGGTAGCTTGGCACATCCTTTTTCTATTCCCCTTCCTTTGTCTATGTCTCTGTCACGTCGAAAAGTTGAAAAAAAAAGAAAATAGTTAAAAAACCTCCTGTCTCTCTTGTCTAGTTTTCACTCCTTTTTGATTTTGTTATACCCCAATTAAAAACGGGAATGACACTCTTTAGAAAGGCCATGGAACCCACAGCAGTGTCTTACCTCGTCTCCCCACTTCAAGACGGCGCCCTGCCGATCTTTCAGACGCCGGTAGATGTTGATCAGTTGTTGTGTGCCGTGTTTTCGGACATGGTCGGCAAACTTCTTGGTGTCTTTCCAACTTAGCGGCGAGCCCAACGTTAACAATCCCATGGTGGAAAACGCTTGTGTACATGCAGGGGGCTAACTAAAAATATATTTTGTCACGTAGAAACTTCCGCGGCTGTACACGTTATTGGACCCTAGACTCCAATAATGTTGTCTGCATCAGCCTAGTACATAATATGCTGTGTGTTGTCCAACCGGCATGACAACTTTATTTCCCGACATACTTACAGAGACATTTTCTTCGCATCGGTGGCACGAACGGACAAAGCCGTGTGCAGAATAACAAATTATAATCAAATATTAAAGCACCTAACTAACATAAAATAATGAGAAAGATATAACATACAAACAAATAAATAAGCAAATAAAATATTAAACAGTACTTGGGTATTTTACGTTTTACGGAGAACACAGGTGGACTGTAAGGATTCGAACTGCCCGACTCTCAACACGGGTTGCGTCATCAGGCTAGGTTATGGTCAAGTAATGATACGTAGATATTCATTAGACTTTATCGTGCAACACTTGATTCCGGGTACAAAGACTTTCAATCTTTAGCAACAATTAGGTGCAGAGAGGTGATGCTGGAAACTTTCTAGACGTCAGGGTCATAAACAACATTAAATACTATGAGCTCAGAATGTGTACAAAAACAATGAACGATACTGACCCCAATAAAATATTAACCAGGCCCTAGCCTGGGTACCAATCTCTGTAGTTACTACTGGCTCGATTATTGTTGCATACTCATTAGACTTTATTGTGCAACACTAATTAATGATGAATGATGAAATGGTTTATTGAGAATAAAAACACTGGCAGCCTTACATAGGCTGAATTGTGGTTCTTTAACAATTCAATGTCGTCTAAGACTCGCATTGACAACATAATAGAAGATTCTTATCACATGGATTATAACAGACGAAAGGCGGGTACAATCAGTCAATATAAAGTTCCAGACATTTTAAAATCCATTGGTGATTATATTCCAAAACGTTTTGCTCATAAATAAAATATTCTGTAAACATGGAGGCCGCACAAATATTTACATGACATTATTCAACAATCGTACGCAGAAGGGAAGAGAACTAATGATAATTAGTCTTAACACAAGGTACAAGGAATAGTAGGTGTTGGCAACAAGTATTTTTAACAATTAAATGCCTTGCCTTAGTGTACTCTACATAGTACAGCATACAAAAAAGCATTGAAGAACATCCAAAGCTAGTATATTGAGTGTTAATAACTAGGTACAATGTAGAGTGCCTAACAGCAAGGAACATGCATTAGACACTTGCTGCATCTCAGGAACATGAAAAATAATTATGATAGCGTAATTATTACATTAAGCACTATATAATCTCACTGCATGTACCCAAACAACAGCCAAAGTCCAAGCAGACCCTAGCTACCATTATACTCACTACCAGGCTCTCTCTTTTCGCGTGCTTCACACAGAAATTTACAGATATGGTAACAAGTTTAAGCAAAAGGGCTTAATTTTTGCAGCAATTGAAGAGCTAAATCTTTTTGACGGGTTGTTAGTGATAATATTGTCTGATACCAAACCGAGTGGTTTGTTTGTTTCGCATAACCGGTAAACCACCTTTAGGCGTAACACACCAGTTGTGTACATGTACGTATATGTACAAGCTGCGTAAGACCGGACTGTAAGGTTTGAACCACTCACACCGGGAAGGTCCCCGACTCTTTTCGATAAGTGCGGTGGGTTCTTTAACGTGCGTGGGGTGTGGCTGTCCCCAAACACGGGACCTCCATTTAACGTTCTATCCGAGGGACGTCCCTAACCGAAGCTAGGCACTCATTTCCACCTGAAAGTGAGGAAAGTCGTGTAAAGTGTCTTTCCCAAGGGTACAAGATCGGTGACATGGACAGGATTCGAACCCGCGACCTCTTGGGTGTGAACCGAACGCGCTACCGACAATGAGCACGTGGGCTTAGAATAAGTATTGTGAATGATTGACACGGCTGCATTCTTTGTCAAATGCTTAAAGGATCACTCACGTATCCAAAGGACTGTCAATTAACATACCATGCCCATCCTCGTGAACCATCATAATACGCTTCATTTACTTGAGAAATTTTGAAATATTTCATGAAGATGGTTATCATTTTAGTATCTTATTAATGTATGAGTGACGCACTTTGAAGGTAGAAAGAGAATGTCTATCTCATAAGTATCTGTTGGAAAGACAACTGAAAGTGACTCAAACTCAATTAAGTCCATCGCTGGTATACAGATCATCTAAAACTTCTACATCAGCGAAACTGAATTCAGTTTAATTACCTTCGCCAAGAAGGTTATGTTTTCAGAGGCGTTCGTGTATGTGTATGTGTGTGTGTGTGTGTGTGTGTAAACACGATAACTTGAGAAGGCCTTGATGGATTGTCTTGATACTTGATAGGTGGGTAGGTCTTGATGAGACCTCAAAATGATTAGATATTGGACCCCCTAGCGGCTTGTTATGGTACTGCAGCTGAACTTCCGGTTTTGATATCTCATGATCTAGACATGCTATGGAGATGAAATTTGGATGGTAGGTAGCTCTTGTGCTGGGGAAGAAGTGACGTGAGTTTGGTCCCCCTAGCGGCTTGCTCTGGAACTGCAGGGATATATTCTTGAAAATATTCAAAAGGGGATAACTCAAGAACCGGTTGACGGATCGTCGTGATTTTTGGTATGTAGGTAGCTTACGTGATGCTTAATATAATTATGTGACAATTATGCAAATATGGATGTAATTTGCATAATTTATGGAGAAATTCTATAAATCAGCTGCATTCCATGATAAGACAATTGAAGCTTGTGACATTGGTAATTGACAACGAGAGAAACACAGGCAGATATTGATTATGTTAATGATAACTTAATTTGCATAATTAATGAGAAAATTTTATAATTATGTAATGATAACTGCCTGGAATTTCATACTTGAGGTATTTGAAAGTTAAGTTGAGGGTGAACATCATTAAACATACTTTACTCAAATCAGGAACTAATTTGCATAATTTATAAGGAAATGCTAGAATGCATTGTTTGTTAATATAAGACTGTCTTTTGGTTGAGATTATGATAAAATGATATAATTCATGAAAATTAGGCTCCTATTTGTTAAATCAGAGGGAATAATCTAATGTATGATTTGTCAGTCATAAAGATTAACATCATTTGGCGAAGGTATGAGATCGGGGAACTCTAGTTCTTTATGTGCCATTTCTCACGTTTGCGATAATATCAAACCAAGTACTACTACTAGGACGAATCATGGTCAGGTGTCAGAATAAACAGTTGCAAAATGGAAATCATTTTGAATTCTCTAATAGCTATGAACTCAAACATCTATGATAGTTTGATTTTACTTTGAATAACTGCCAAAGGAAATATAATATATTTTTTTGTAAATCAAAAATGAAAGCTGAATCAAAAATCAAATCAAACTTAAAATAAAATAAAATTAACTCACAGAAATCACTGAGAGATTTGTGAAAGCCATCTTCTTAAAATTCGTATAACGTTTGACTTATACATAATGTTTATGTCAGTCTGTTGCCCGTAGTGGTTTTTTAAAAAATTGAATGCCAAATATTCGTTCTTAACAAGGCTGACATGCAGAAACCCATCTTATGAAGTTGAGCACGCGGTCATAGATGTGCTTGTACCCCCGGCGTATGTTCTTGTTCATAACGCCGTATATGATCGGGTTGAGAACGCCGTTTAACGAGGCTAGCAGCTGGGCAACAGAGAAGGCATCTGCTGGAACTTTACTGGAGAAAACCACCATTACGGTGATGGGCACATTGCACAGCGTGTACACGGCAAAGAGGGACATCATCATTTTGGTGATCTGCCTGTCAGCGGCACTATTGTGGTTTTGAGAACTGTTTCTCGGGACAACGTGAGCTCGCTGTGGTCCTTTATTTGTACCAGTCTGGTCTAACACTATGGTAGCAGTTGGGACGAGACCTTTGTTTTTATCAGGCTCATTGCCTTTCCGTTCCTCGTTACTTAATGAGGATTTTTTTGCCCTGTTGTTTACCCGTGCTAGTTGCTGAAGCAATCTGATTGACAACTGGCTCATCAGCAACTATGCATATATTATGTTATTTGCATAATTAATGACATGTTGAAAAATTTACGAAAAATATTGTCATTTGAATTTAGAAAACCATAAATTAGATTATGCTAATTGCAGCATTATTTCCATATAGTAAATGAGACAAAAAACATTTACAAATCTCTTATATTTCATGGAGGTATGAGATCTCGGAATTCTTGTTGCTGAAGCAACCTGCACGATTCTAGCTTTGGGTTTACCTGGCTTGACAACTAGCTCATCGTCACGTGATGAGGAATTCTCGCCCCCCACCCACACTACATCCTCCATGTTTCTAATCGACTTTGTCACCTTGTCGGTTTCTGACACCATACGAACGTACAAAGTGTCAAAACAGAGAAACTAAAACTGTTATTTCCCGAGGGAGACCATCATTTGTTGCCGACGTGCTGACTGGTAATTATAAAGGGTGTGGCGTTAGAAACGGCTCCATTTAGTGTGACGTACGGAACAAAATGTACAGCAATGTACATTATACACAGCTGACTGAGTTTGGGAAAAATATGACGCAAATGAATAGAGCAGGATCTATCACAATACACATTAGGCGCAGTGGACCGAGCCGTTAAAAAAGACCTGACACAAATTCGCGTACAGTCCTGAACTGAGACAGGTGACATGGGGACCTACACAGCGTTTGTTGAAAGTAAGTTGGCCTATCGTCATGTATGAATTTATTGTACATGTAAGTTTAGTTATCGAGGACTTGTACTTGGGCAATGATGTGGCACCAAAGCGCTTCTTTCTAAATAAAGCGCATGACACGCGATAGCTCCTCTTAAGTTGATATATCTTTGCCTTTTAATTGTGATAATCGGTCGGTAGGAGGTTAGTGTATTAATGTATCCAAATATCCTTATTACGACTTGATGTGGGGTCGTGTGGAGTAACGACAGAGCGCTAGACTTGGAAACAAAAGGTCTCCAGTTCGAATCCTACCATGCCACCGACCTTGTGCCCTTGGAAAATACACTTAACACAAATTTCCTCACTTTACTCAGGTGTCTGTTTTCCATTGATGCGTTTGTCTGCGTTGGTGGCGGCATAAAAATAAGTGATTTTTAAAAACTGGAATGTGCCGTTGCCATGTCTTAGAAATTAGAATAGAATAGAATAGAATAGAATAGAATAGAATAGAATAGAATAGAATAGAATAGAATAGAATAGAATAGAATAGAATAGAATAGAATAGAGAAAAATCTATCCGGACAGAGTATTCAGTACCGTGGACCGAGTGTGTGTGTGTCTGACAGTCTTTCCCTTTGACAGTGTTGCTCCTAGCTGTTGTGACAGTCCACTACGTGAGCTGCTCGCCATGCAAACCGTCTGTAGCAGAGCTGTGCTCCTGTAAGGACGGACTCATGGACAGTGGGGAGACCTGCACGGTGTGTGCCTGCTCACAGGATGGGAACTACAGGCAATGCAAGAGTGAGTAGCGACATTTTGTCGAGAACTCTGCCGTGTCACTAGTCTCTGTCAGACTCTAATGGTAGGGCTCTAAATAATGGTGGTATGTGCACCATCATGTGCCAAGGACATGTAATTCAGTACCATGCACAGAGTAGTCAGTACCAAGGACAGGTCAGTCAGTATCGAGGACAGGTCTGTAAGTACCAAGGACAGGTCAGTCAGTGCCGAGGACAGGTCATAGTACCAGGGATAGGTCCTTGCACCCAATTTTATCCTGTGGGTGCACCAGTGCACTCACATATTTTTATTGCTTTACGTGTGTTAAATGTATAATGGCATAGAGCATATCCTCAACATCAAAGTGTTAGAAAAATAATAAGATCATTCAATATATAGTACTTTTCTTTAGAAATGAAACATATTAATTTCGTTTTTGCTCATATTCTACCCATTTTATCTTGTATGGTGCACCTTAGATATTTTGTGCACCCAATTTTTAGGTCGGGTGAGCCCTGTTTGGACTGCTGGAAAATATTAGAAATATTCCAAATTGACTGAATACTATACCGGAGAAGTTACCTGCAAAGTTTAATTCTATGGTGGTATAATTCATCTGGCACATTATTCAGTATATTTGGCCATTTTTTGGACATTTCTTATATGTACCCATTGGTGTCTGGTAGAGGCGTCTGTGTCCCTGGCAACTACATGTATGTCACATTCTATTCTGCGAAATAGTATCCAGATTGAACTGTGTATATATTGTAAATAATTCTTGTATGTGTCTTTGTATATGTTTTCTAGTAGATGTGTTGTGTGAAATATTTCAATGAGGGCAATGTGAAAATTTGTACCCAATTCAGAGGGGGTGCTTTTTGTACTCCCCCCTGCTGATGTACATTTTTTGAGTGGAGAATAATAAAGATAATCCATCGCCAAGAATTATTTGATTTATGTTCAAAGTCCATTTACAATCATGTCGAGCCATTGTGCTTTGGAGGTCACATGATAATGGGAACGAACACAAGTATTGTTCCTAACAGTAAGAGGCGTCACTTTCGGAAAATTTATGCCTAAATACCAAGGCCAGACTGGTGCTGACCTTCATCAGCAACAGGGGGTAGCAAACAAACAAACAAATCATGAGGCACAAAGAAATGTAGTAGAATGGTTTATCATTACTACAAGAACAAGAAAATGTACACACAAGCCTCCTGGCAGCTATGATAGCTGAATTGCGAGGCCTATTCTAACATCATGCTGCGACAAACTATATACATTCATAAAATATAAAAATATAGTTAAAATTGAAAGCGAATATTGGTTTAAAATTCACAGGAGAATTAAGTTGCGTATTACATCTTCAATACAATGTAGCTGTGTGGAAAGTGATTAAAAACACGGTGTGGAATTACGGCTACTAGAACGAGTAATAAAAGTTCATGGTCTACAGTTCATTTAGTCGTTTGGCCAGGGCAGGAATATGGCCCCGAGAAGGTGCAGTGAAATGTAACTCATACAAGGCCTTTTGACGGATCATCTATTAATTGACAATGACTTGTATGCGTGCGAGGTCAGACATTGTGGCTCGGAGAAACTGAGGTGTAAAATTGTCACCATTAGAGCTCTTGAAGGCCAAATGAGCTGTGCAAGACCGTTTGTCCGACTACCAAGTTGTAGATGTGAGAAGAAATGGTCACAGTCCTTTAAAAATCAATCACCTCTTTCCTTGTACAATGTACAACATTCATACGTCAATAATTTTGCAAAAAAGACAACAACGCCGTAAAATAATGTGATCTGACCCAAAAACTTAATATCATAATTGAATATCAACGTTGTGGTGTCGTGTGACATGACGGCAGAGTGCTCGACTCGAAACCAAGAGGTTCGAGTCAAAACATGTCACCTTTCTTGTGCCCTTGGGAAAAGCACTTAACACGACTTTCCTCACTTAGCTCAAGTGAAAGTGAGTATTTGTCCTCTGCGTTGGTGGCGGAATAAAATACGTTGAAAAAACTTGAGTGTGCCGTCACCATGTCTAGTTATAAAATGCTGGAATACATATAAAAATACATATCAACGTTCTTTGTTTACAAGGGCCATATTTCGATGACAGTTTTTCATCTTCATCAGGGCATTTCTGACAGACGGCCATAAAAACGTGGCTCCTGTTAAACAAAGAACCTTTGTAACCAATCATTCACCAATCTAACAAAAATGAACTAGAACGGCAGACATTTGCTCTGGAGCATATGCAGCAAATGGCTTCACCACATCCACCATAATTATACCAATGGCTTCACTACATTTTCCAGACGTTGTAGGGAACGGAAAAAATCAAACAATCAAACAATCACATAGCTTTATTTGTATGGTTTCGGTCGACGGAAAACAACAAGCTACTTCCTGCAATAGAACAACAGCTATTTTCAAAGCGCATTCTGTCATTCTATCCTGTCCTTGGCACTGACTGACCTGTCCTTGGCACTGACTGACCTGTCCTTGGCACTGACTGACCTGTCCTTGGTACTAACTGACCTGTCCTTGGTACTGACTGACCTGTCCTTGGTACTGACTGACCTGTTCCTGGTACTATGACCTTTCTTTGGTACTGACTGACCTTTCTTTGGTACTGACTGACCTGTCCTTTGTACTGACTGCCCTGTCCATGGTACTGACTGACCTGTCCTTGGTGCTGACTACGTGTCTTTGGCACTGACTGCGATGTCTTTATTTATTCATTTATTTGCCGCTATATTTACACAGGGTTGCCCACTCGGTGGAAACACTGTTGTAACACTGCTGTTCAGTGGGCCCCTGTATCATATAAGAATAAATAAAATACATGTACAAGTCACGTACAAACAATAAAATGAATATACAATAAATAATTGTAATGACAATAATGAAAAACGACAACCAATCGAGAGCAATAATCGGTACGTTGTCTTTAGTACGAGCTACATTGGTACTGCTCGGTTGGGTTAAGGCGTCCTAGGCTTATGGCAGAGTAGTATTCTATACATGCCTGGAACTTTTGATAGCTTGGTCGCACCGCGACGAAACTTCACACAGTTTTAGTTGTACATGAAACGCATTGAATAAAAGGTACTTCAGTTTTTCTACACCTGGATTTTGGGTTTAAAAATACACATTTTGACTGCAAAAAAATAGCCGTTTATTTCATGAATTTACGCGCAGGCGGTAATAACACCATCCATCGTTATATTTTACAAGATGGAGGCCAATCCCACACAGGTTATTTCTGTCCGAGGCTATTTTGTTTAAAATGGGTATTGTTTTAGTTTTGGGTCAAAATCACAAGAAACAGGTATTTTTGGCCATTTTTGGTTTGAAAAATCGCCCCAGTAAAAAAACATCCAAATTTATGCAAAATTTATAAAATTTGCTATAAAATATACAAATTTAATAAGAAAGTGATAATACCTAAACATGGATTACTCTAACAATCAATTATGCTGTTTTAAGCTGCGCGTAAAGCCATTTAAGTCATACTCCGTGAATAAAATGCGTAACAACGCGGGTTAACAGGGGAAACGACTGCAAATGACCGCCGGTAACCCCTAATTCGAACACGCGTTCTATTCGAATGACGTCATATCGAACATGGCGGAACATGATTCGGGTTCGAAACAAGTCTGTGGCCATTGTGCAGACACACGCCCGAACTCGAACATGAATATCAGCCTAGGCCGCCTTAACCCAACCGAGTGACTGTACATGTACGTGTCTTACTGTCCCTGGTACATACTACTTTGTCTTTGGCACTGGCTACACTACCCTTGGTACTGACAACACTGTCCTTGGTAATGCCTACACTGCCTTTGTTACTGAAAACACTGGATACAGAAAAAAAAACAATAATGGCGACACTGTCATTGGTAATAACTACGCATTGTTTAACATAAAACAAATAAACAAAGAAACAAACAGTACTTGTGTATTTTACGTTTTACAGAGAACACAGATGGTTCTGAGGGTTCGTCTTGCCCGACTCTCAACACGAGTTGCGTCATCAGTGACTCCGCTGCTGAAACTGCGCCTCCTGGCGGCCAAAGCTGTTATGTCACTGCTGCCATTCACGAAGGACTACGGAGGTATGTCTTCCTGTTTATTTTCGTCATTCGCAATAGCTACAAGAAAAGACATTTTCATATAGAAGGTAAGAATATTTTTAGACTTCCTGGTTAGAATATAATGACCTTCTGAGGCGTTTTCATCTAAGATCATCTAAACGTAACAAATGGTGATTGGTCTGTTACATAAATATGTGTAACTTTTATTTCTTTTTTATGGATCCATTTTTGTAGACTGCCCGAAATCAGACACAGCTTTAAGCCCTCTTTTCACAACAATATATCAGCGCCAAGCTTTAAGCCCTCTTTTGAGGGCCATAGCGTTTCAATTCGACAGTCGGTCATATTCCGCCGCGTGACTGTTACAGTGTAATCAGGACATTCTAATTGACCTTTTTCGCGTGACCCGGGACAGAAAGGTCAAAGTTCAAGCTCACTATGTCCTGGTACATTTCTACCAACTTGAAGATATAACCTCCTTGTTCTACAAGTTTATCTACCCAAGGATTTACCCGTTGACACTATTTTGTTTCCCCGCCAGTCGTGACAATCCGCTCCGCGTACATCGTACCGGTAACGTCGTTCTTCACGGCGAGCTGGTGGTTAATTGTCAGGAGAATTATGAGGTAAGTACAAGTACAAATGTATAGCCTAGGCACGCATGATATTAATAAGGTTTGGCTATCGTCATTTAGTTATTGCAATATCTCTACAATATAGTTTAGTACCATACAATAATAGCTTTATGTCTCAGTGAGTGTTTTTAATGTGTGGTGTGGTAATGTCCTAGGTTGGACATAGGGTTAAAAACATTTTATAGGCTTTTATGCAAATTTATGCGAATAAGCATCATACCTCGATTATTATCTTGAACTTAGTATTCAAGTTGAACATTGTTCAGGTCTGACTCAAGTCAATCTAAGTGGAAATAACTATAATTTGGCAGGAGAATCAGATCCCAGCATGATAGCTTTTAAAAAAATAAGGCCCGGGAAAGTTTTAATGTTTACCTTCAAGTTTGCAGAAGGAAAACATATTGTTCTTGCTTTGTTAAACCTCTTCTTCTCCAAACAAATAAGGCCAATGACGCAGACCAGGCGTCTGTCACCATGGTAACTGTTGCTGTAGCCCTGTGGGGTTGAGTTACATTATGTCATGATGTAGCAGGACTGAGCTCTTCATATATTATCATAATATGTAAATGTGTTTGAGTAAGAATAAACTGAGAGCAGTAATAATAGCTAGTTATTGATTGTATTGGTTATTAATTCATCAGTTGGAGATACATTGGACAGCGAGAGGCTACAACCAGACGGCTCCAGGAGACCCCATGGAGGACCTGCTGCCCATGGACGCTCCGCGTAATGACATTGACTTTGTCATCGCGCCGAGAACACTGCCTCTCGGAGTACATATGATACAGGTACGGGTAACGTCTTCATATAAGGCCTGGGGGAAAATGTTGTATTTCCTGTTTTAGTCTTGAAGAAAATATGAGTGTCGGTAGGTAGGAAATATCTTCTTTTCTTTATTTTATATTTTGCCTTTGATGATCTCTAGTGATAAAAAGTGTCCTTGTGCAAATTTTACTTTATTAAACTGTAATTTGCATAAGTAACTTGTAAACTTATGCAAATTACAGTTTAATAAAGTAAAATTTGCACAAGGACACTTTCATTTTCAATGACAATGTTGGAAAACCTATTGTACAACGTTTCATCCCTTGGGTGTCATAATAAATCATGGAGCTAGGAAAGGTCGATCAGCTCAAAAAATCATTTCTTTTGCAGGGGTCGACAAAAACAGCAGGGGTCGGTATTTTTTTTCCAGGGTCAGTCAGGAAACAGAAAACACAACACTTAATTTTTTTTCCTAGACATGAGCAGATGTATCGTAACAGTCATACATGTGATGGCCAGGTCAAATACTATCATCATAAGGTCTTCAGCTGAATGCATTGTTGGCGGAATATGTCATACATGCATCGGCAAGATGCAGCTCTCATTTTATTCTGTCTTGGACCCTTGTCATTGCTTGGTTCTGTCACAGTCTGCTTGAAAACTCTCCGGTATCAAAGTTGCACAACCAAAGTTGAACTTTAAAGTTGAAAGAATTTGGTTTATATATTATACGATTAATTTCTTCTGCTCTCGATTTCTATGTAGATCTTAGACTGTTTTTTTTTCTCAACCTGTTGCCACTGTGACAGCAATTAATGACTCTGTTTACAGCTACAAGTCATCATGACCGTGCCGGGAAGCGGTCATGTCTCTGTGTCTGCCGTCCAAACCTGGGTCGAGTTTGTCAGGTTTGTTTGTCTTGTAAACCACCATTCAAGATCTAACATACTTTGTATGTAGCAAATACTAGTGACTACGATAGTACTCTTGTGGGTGTAGTTCTTGTATAATAATCGCTTCTAGACCACACTAAGTCTTGTTTCAACACAATTTATAATACTTATTAGATATATTGAATTATGCTTAACCATGGAGTTAAAAAGACTTGTTGTCATTGACTATGTAAATTTTTATGTTGTATATGTGTTTTTGTATGGAGGAGGGCAACTTGTAAAGGTGCGTATGCACCTGTTTTGCCCTACCTTTCACTTTGTGAGAAATCAAAATAAAAAAATAACATAAAAATAAGTATGAGGCTTGATCCACTCACCAAGAAGGACCCCTACTTTTACAAAAAGTCGGTTCTTTAACGTGCTTTATTTACAGTGCAAGGGACATCCCTGATTGAAGCTTATACTCGTTTTCACCTTGTTCGAATTGATGACAAAATATTTAACTGCCTTTCCCAAGACAACCTGAGGACAACATCGGGCCCTACTATATATAGATTCAAACCCAGAACAATATATTGTAAACCAGTAACCCTTGACTCCAGGACTCCAGGAAGACCAGTAGATACATGATGTGGTTTTAATAGAGATCCAAAATAAACAAACAAAACACTAACCAGAGACTTGCTCCCAACAGATCGCCTGTAGTGTACAGTATTGGAAGCTCTGTCAGGACGATTCCAACCTCTGGTACCTTCGAGGTGAACGCCGGCCTGTCTTACGACCCAGAGGAAATCTTTTCATCCGATGAACTCACGTATAACAGTGAGAGCAGAGTGGTTTATAAGCCAGGTACAAATTTATTTCAACATTATACATCGATACCTCCATAATTATAATTAGAGATTTTGTTGTCAGTGTGTTTTTTTTTACCCTTGCCAGTAGTTATCGTTTTGGTATAATTGTACGTGTGTTTCTGTCTGCGTATGTGTGCGCGTGTGTGTTTGTGTACATGTGTGTGTGTGTGTGTGTGTGTGTTTATGTGTGTGTGTGTGTGTGTGTGTGTGTGTGTGTGTGTGTGTGTGTGTGTGTTTATGCATCATAGCTAACCCAAGAAGCTTTTGAATGGATTGTAATGAAACGTACTAAAACTAAATAGTGGTTAGATTTTGGTTACCCTAGTGGCTTGTTATGGTACTTCGGTGAACAGTCATCCAAACAATTGCAAAGTATGTACATATATAAACACTTGGGTCTGTCTGAAGAAGTTGTAAATCCAAATTTTCCTTTTCCCAGAGTGTGGGCTGTTTTTATTTCGCCATTTTCCGGGCAGAGATTGTGCGGCGTCGGACATCGCGGCTCATCACGGCGTGTCCCTGCAGTTCTGTTCCGCTGCCTGCTGCGCCGACTCCGCCTGCCTGTCGTTTCAGTACAACACCAGATCCAGCTGCTATCTGAAGCCTCGGCTCTGCACCGACGCGCAGAAACGGTCTGTATCGGCCGGCAACATGTACGATCGACTCACAGGTTTGTGCATCAAAATGTATCTGTATCAGTAGATCTATTTGTTTAATACTATTAAGATTTTCCAGCACATGCGTGGAGGGGAAGGGAGAACAGGTGGGTCACCTTTACCAGCTCCCTCCCCTAATTACATCAATAAAGAGCATTCTAAAACAGCATCGAAATTAAACACATTGTAAACATGCATACAAAAATATGGACATGTAACATATCAGTCAGATATTATTCTACGTAGATATCAGTGTGTACAAATGTATAGCAGGTACAAATAGCTGATACAAATGTATAACCATGGGTTGTAGGCTATTGTAGGCTATAGGCAAGTCACCACACAGACACCACGGCACATCCATCTGCCGGAACTTTGCTCCGGGAGTTAAAGTATCTGAGACCCATCACCCTTGCATGATCCAGTATTTCCCCTCATCCTCGGTGTGCTAACTTACATGTTGTACGTCGTAGTTGAATTTCGAGCCCTTGGGTTATTTTTTTTTGTACTAGAAAATGACAGCACTTTCTTCTTACAGGGGACCCGGGTACAAACATCGCTGTCGGGCGGACGACATCGGCCAGTTCCATCTACTCTTCCTGGTTCAGCCATCAGAAGGCCGTGGATGGGAGCAGTGCCTACTGCTTTTACAGTTACCACAGTAACAACTTGGGTACCTCCAACCCCTGGCTACAGATTGATCTCTCTCAGCCAACTCCAATTGGGAGGTGAGCCTACAGAAAAAAAACGCAGTTTCAAAAATGCTTCCATCTTTTTGGGCCTCATAGCAGCTTTTATACTGAGAAACTGCAAGTGCCTTATTTTGTGTGGGGGGGGGGGGTAAATTACGTTAAACTTCGTGCCACTCAGTCTCACACACTCATCATCCGGTTTATCCTTTGTTGTTCCTGGTCATCTGGACATTCGAGGGTTAGACAAGCTCTGGGTGGCTGGGCTAGAGGTTTATCTAATATCTGTTTGTCCAGACAGAGTCTACATGTAGGTTGGCAACACATGGATTGGGAAGATGGATAAATGCCTACCCTGACAGCATTATTGTGCCCAGCTGCAGTGACAATTTATGAACTGCTCACCCTGTCAATTGCCTGTTGCCTGTGAGCCTACACAAAACACCAAAATTCATGCATCCTTCCTTCTTGACTACGTAAAACTCCTTGAACCATTTTCACCCTAGTTGAGTCAGAAAAAAAAAGAGTTTTCCGAAAGGCACAACATTACGGCCAGCTGTTAATCCAGAACTTCTGATTTTAAATCAACAACTCTAACCCTAACCTTACCGCCCACACACAGTATTGTCCTGTTCAACCGAGTAGACTGTTGTAGTGCAAGAATCAACCCGTTCAACCTACATCTGGGAAATTCATCGAACATCCTCTTAAACCCTTTATATGGTGGAGACTTCAACTTTGACCTGACTCAGCCGACCATGACCATCCCCGTCTCCGGCGTGACGGCGCGATTCGTCGGTGTTCGCCTTCCCGGCTCCAGCCGGACTCTGCAGCTGTGTGAGGTTCAAGTGTACACAAGTGATGGTAAGAACAGTTCTTTTGGTTTTAGTGTCTGTTTATAATTGTTAATAGGCAGTTCAACACACACAGCCAGGGCAGCCCAACTGGACTGTGGCAAAAGACAAGCCCTGCTGACAAAGAATGTCGGACGACTCGGACCATTGCCATCTCGGCCCAGACAACTCGGCCCATCTACCTGGTCAACTCGGCCCATTTCCCTGGTCAACTCGGCCAATTTCCCTGGTCAACTCGACCCAATACAGGAGACAGTAATTTAGGCAGAAACACACGCACACACGAGGTCAATTTCGAACAAATATCATCGAACTTTAATAAGAAGTTCATTCAACTTATCCAACTGTACTTTCTTTTTCCACAGGTGTAACGAACGCATAACGAATAGAACTGGCGCTACTCCTTAGTCAACAAACGACGTTCGTCGAAGGCTTACATACTATTTCTACCAAAGTACTAGTCTAGTAATCGGTAAAACAGTCGTTCGCATGGATAAGTTAAACAGAAGGGCGGTGGGCCGAGTTGACCAAAGACAAGACATTACAATGGGTTTTGACATGGAAAGCATAACATTTTTCTATAACATTATTCTGAGAGTTTGTAAAGGCTGTGCGATTTTGATGTGGTAGAATTTCCAAGCAGGATGTAACAGAACCAACAGCTGACAAAGATATAAGGCAGCCTTTTCTGTAACAAGACAGCAGAATATTGTACAACTATCCCAAGACTGTCACAGATCATATGATGATCGTACAACGAATGTGACCAGGCCCAAATGGTGTAACAGTGTGACTTCAATAGCTGTCTATAAAACGTCTAGCGGACATCAGACATGATTTAGACATTGCTTTACAAAGGCCAGTCGGGAGTGCATGACCAGGCCCTAATGGTGTAACAGTGTGACTTCAATAGTAGACATAGTTACTGAGAAACGACATCGAAATAACCCAAGGTGGACATTTTATATCCATAGTCTCTTCACACGTCAGTCAGGGACACCCCTAGGAGACAGTCCTTTGTTTAGCACAATGCGTACTTATATAAAGATATTAGCATCTGTCCGTTAAATAATTGTGTCCTGCTGTCTAAATTGTCTTGGCAGTGCTTTTCATATGGATGCGAGTTTTCACACTAAGAATTCCTTCATGCTGCAGCTGAATGTCCTGTGTTTTGTATCTTCTCCCTAATATGTACAGAATCTATAGAAGCTTCTGTAATGCTGGGGTCTCCGGTCGAGGGGTCTCAATCTGGAGTTCTGGCGTTCCAGTCTCCTACCAGTGTTCGCCCTCTCGGCCTCATCGTCAACCTCAGTGTAGAGATCACGGTCGGCAACTTCCCTCCAGTAACACTTCACACAATCCTCCACGTTGTGCCAGATGATTCACTGGGAGAACTGAGTCTACAGTAAGGCACATATATATCTAACAACAATGAAGCTAAAACCACTGTATGTATTGTTTATTATGTTTACCTGTGTTTACCATAGGAAAACAAGTTTTTACTCAGTTTCTTCCTTTTCTGTTCAAAACACTAACCTCTGACCTGGCCAATGATTTGTTTACGTCTGTCACCATGGTGACTGGTGTTGGGTTACATAATGGTGCAATTTCATGGTCTGCTCTGCTCCTGTCACCATATACTAGTAGTACATGTATGTGAATGTGTTTGAGTGAGAATTAACAGAGCGGACTATGTCCGAAGGTAAACATTATGCATTTGCTTTGCAAATGTTAATCTCTAGTTAATAATATATCAAAGCTACTGGTTTATAATGAACAAATATGGTTAATCATTAAACCGTTGGTTAGTTAAGAAGCCTATTGATTATTGATAAGTAAAATCCATTGATTATTGATGAACCTGTTGATTATTGATAAATGTACTGGTCATTGACTAACCTGTTGATTATTGATTAATCTATTGTTTATTGATAGACCTATTGTTTATTGATGAATCCATTGATTATTGATGAGCTCATTGATTATTAATGAACAAATTACATTATTTAATCATAAATATATCAGTTACTAAATGAGCCTATTGATTATTAATAACCCATTGATTATTGATGAATTTATTGATTGTTAATGAATGAACTGGTTATTGATGAGCCAGTTGATTATTGATGAATCTATTGTTTATTGACGGACCTATTTATTGATGAATCCATTGATTATTCTTGAACCAATTTAATATCTATGAACACATTGGTTGTGACTGTTGGTTATCGATTAACCTATTGATGTTTGTTAAGATGTGAAAATCTAGGGTCTGAAGCAAACTGCAATCCATCCAACATTGCGTCTACAGAGGCTTTAGAACTGTACACAGAGTCAGAAATATTCGGAACGACAGAATTTTCCCTGGAAGAATTCCCGACAGGTTTTCTGGACCAGGACTGGACCTCCGGCATAGACAGTGAAATATCTGATGACACTCGACTACGAGTACTAGCCGGGACTTTCTGGGTGAGGAGTGCAGTTTTCCCGTTAGCTTAATTCTCTTTGGATACATTATACAGTTTGATTAAAGAAATTTTTAGTCTTTCAAAGCCTCTAGTGTAAAAAGTGTGAAAAAGATGGATAAACTTTGATATCTAAGCCACAGAAATTTGATTTATTGGTTCTCGGATTTCTTTTTTTTTGATTTGCAAATAAAATATCAGGTTTTTAGACTTATGACTACATGTAGGTCTGTTTATTTTCCCTGTCGCTTTATATTTTTTCTGAAAAAATCCGAGAACCAACCAATCAAATTGGTGTGGCCCACTATATTTAAGTTAATGAAGTTTGTCATCAACATATTTTAGAAAGCCCCTTTTGACATTTTGTTTCCTTTAGCTGATTCTTAAAATGCTTCTTTTGGACTGCTGTTTTTTTTTAAACTTTCTGATTTATTTATTTATTTTTTTATTTCATTTTAACACACCTGGGTAGCCCACTCAGCTTTGACAAGTTGATTTTCAGTGGGGCCCAGTTGACAGAAATAATAAAACATAAGTTAATACTTGAACAGAAATAACAGAGAATTGTATGTAAAACATAAATAACGCAGGTACCCAAAGTATACAAAAATAAATACATGAGATTACTTAGAGACAAACAAAACCGCTCATTAAACTATGAATACGGCATTAAATTACATTTCCAGGCTGAAGGATTTTACACCATACGGCTTACCGATCACCATGTCACTGCGGATGCAGATTTGACCAGGATCGCCGAGTGGCGCTTTAACGTCTTGCCCACACCGGAGGCAGTGTTGGGAGCAGCTTCAGATGAGTCCTCAGAGACCAGTAGCCTGGCAGATGCCTGTACAATCATGCCTTCGGATGGAGTCTCCCTGATCGACAAATTCTGCGCAAAGTGTGTCGGTAAGATTACAGTAGGGATGGCACAGTGTGCTTGGCTAATCATGAACCTTTAGTGAAGCCACGTTGCACTAGTAGAGCACTTTGGCAGAACATACATGTACTGCACCTGTGCAAAGTCTGTAATGCATTGTGCAAGGTTGAATTTACGTAATATAATGTTAACATCCTGTCTGTCTGAGTTTCCAAGTGTTGTGTTGGAAAATATGTCACTCTGCAGCAGGCAAAATCCTGATGAAACGGTGAACAAACATCCATAAAAATTGATCAGGGTGTCGCTCAGGTGCAGTGCATTCTGCTGACATGCTCACTTGTAGCTATTTGAAAATCCCCAGTTGATGATGACAAAAGACATGAAATGCTGGTTACAGATCCAGTCTCATTCTTCGTAACTGTTACAATAGATTTACGATTGTAGCAGATTGAGAGAAATTGTAAGGAAAGTTGTCTTTCGAGGCAGAAAAAGTTGCTTTAGACGATTGGCTCTGTCGTGAACTTTATGGAAATCTGGCAGAAAGTCAGGATTAAACATTTATTCCTGAATTGGAAGCCATTTACTATTATTAATGATTTTCTTTTATCTCCAGTGTCCTTACTGATATCCTTGGCCCAGTGCAGCAGTGCAGAAGTTTCAGTTTTTAGCTCATACCCATCGCAGTAAAAGTTACATCAGAACATTTTCAGGGTGAATTCACATGTCATCTTTTTTCTTTCAACATAGAGTTTGATGATGTCCTGGGCCCAGTGGAGGTAACCATGAGTTTCCAGTTCATCCCAGTGGGGGTAGAGATGGCCACGGCAGCATTTCCTGGAGATGGTCCTCCTACTGATAACAGGATCTTCATGACAGCGTCTACACAATGGGTAAATCAAAATCCCTGTGTACTGGTGTATTGGTTTCAATGTGTGTGTGTGTGTGTGTGTTTGTGTTTGTGTAAAAACTATGTGTGTGTGTGTCCGTATGTGTGTGTGTGTGTACGTGTGTGTGTGTGTTTGTGTGTGTGTGTGCGTACGTGTGTGTGTGTGTATGTGTGTGTGTGTGTGTGTGTGTGTGTGTGTTTGTGTATGTGTGTATGTGTGTGTATGTGTGTGTGTTGTGTGTGCGTGTGTGTGTGTGTGTGAGTGTGTATGTGTGCGCGATGACATGATGTACATTGTACGTTAAGCGTTGCTATCTGTTACAAATTTACAATACATTCTAATATGTGTGTGTATACATATATGTGTGTGTGTGTGCGTGCGTGCGTGCGTGCGTGCGCATGTGTGTATGTGTGTGTGCGTTCACGTGTGCCTGTGTATGTGTGTGTCTGTGTCTGAGGTTTGAAATATACTGTCTTTAACTGTCTGTAAATATACTGTGTGTTGTTGCTAGATTAAAGTTTTAACGTAAAGCTGGTCAGACTTTGGTGATACATTTTCTACTGACAGGTTCCTTACACACCTTTGGTTGACCTGGCTACCGGCTACCTGCTGTTGACCCTTCGCGCTACGTCAGTGGACGGGCGCTATACTGAGTTTGATCTGCCACCAATGGAAGTGGGTATTCTAAACTTTATAACTTACCCGGAAGTATTGTTTTGGGTGGGTTTGTCTAATATATGCATGGGTTTGTGTGTATGTGTGTCCAGACAAAGTTTGTTAACAGCACGTAGCTACGTAGGTGAGTGACTGTCAAAGGCAGAATGACAGGCAGGCAAAACGAAAGAGGTATTGGGGTCAGCTAAAACCCAAAATCTGGCTGGGAGCCAGGAGAATATGAAAGTCCAAATATCATCGAATTTAGGAAGCCAAGTTGCATGAGCAGACCCTGCATAGTTACTGCCCTAACCAGTCCATAAAATACAGTCTCAATGGTTATTTCAATTTTCAAGAAAACCTAAAAATGCTTCCCGAAAGTCTGAAATTTCCGATTCTCGTTACTCATTGTAGATACGTCCACCGACAATGTCTCAGCTTCTGGATTAAGAAAAAATATAGAATGTTAGCCTCTACCAGGCTTCGGGAGGCGGCTGACTATGCCGCACCCGAATGGGTGTGGCAAACTGTTCTCTCCAGCCGACCAACACCCTTGGCATGCCATCTCTCTTTTTGGCTGATTTCTACTCTTTCCAGCCGCCTCCCGAAGCCCGGTAGAGGCTAATAGAACGTCCTTGGAAAATGTCCTTTGAAAAACTACAAATACTTCATTGAAGTCTTAAATGTATGATTCTCATTACTTACTGCAGATACGTCCACCGACAATGTCTCAGCTTCAGGATTACATGGACAACTTCTTCCCTTATCCGGGCGGAGACTTCTTCCAACTGCTCGCCCATGGAGACACACAGACGGCATTTAATGGCTTCATATTTGCCTCGGCTGTGGCTGGAGCTTTGGCCTATAGAGGAGAAAATACAGTTGATGTACTTATCCTATCTAGCTGTCTGTCTTATCAAGTAGTAACATTAGATATCCTCTATCTATCTAGTATCTATCTATCCATTTATTTATAATCTTTCTATGCATATCTATCTATTCAATAAACTGTATGGCATTATGCATAATACAGGTAGGTGCCTTTATGTGAAGGTTATAAAATCAGTCTGCTTTAGTGTTTGAGACTGTGGATTTAGCAGTATAACTCTTGAAGGCATGGATCGATGTTTATGACTTTTGGCAGGCAAAAAGTGGGTTCAACCGGAAGAGCAAAAATGGGCTCTATGGGGTCCCTACCTCACTGCAGTGGACCTTTTGTGTTTGTCGCTTATTAGGAAAACAACTCAAGTATATGTAAATGGCTGTTCAAGATTTTTGGTAGGCACACTACCGTTGTAGAGATAAAGGTTAAGTTTGGAATTGGGCCTCGTGGGTTGTCCCTACGTTGCTGCAGTGAACCTTTTGTGTTTAAAGGTAACAATCTTCCCCAACAGCCTCTGCTTGAAGAGTAGTCAGTGACAGCTGGCCTTGGGGTCAGATCACCTCAGTGGGAGGGGGAAAGGTTGGACATGCGTCAGGTCATTCCCTAAGGCCACACCAAGTAATTTTATGGACCTTATGGACACTGGAGACCTTAAATGTAATGCAAAAGCGCAATAAAAAAAGGCCAAAAAAACAAAATGCCTAGATTTAGAATATACTAAAGAAATACAACATTTAATGTTAGGAAACAAATTGAATAAAAGAACACAGTGTAACAAGAGTTCCGAGATCTCATACCTCCATGAAATATGGGCTTGCTTTGTCCTCATTGATTATGCAAATAACCTCTACATTAACATATATATATATGCATCGCTATGCATCCATAAAGGCGTTCTGAAGTTATGCTGACTACAATGTTGCGGAAACACAGACAGACAGACACACACACAGACATACAGACAGACACGCCAAAAACAATACCTCCATTTTTCATGGAGGTAACAAATGAAAAAGTCTTTTACAGTGTCACCGGTATTCGTATTAAAACAGCAATAAATCAACTAAGCAGTAATCGCCTACCATGATAGCAAATAAAATTGTATTTAATCCTTTTTAGGTTGTGGATAAAATAATGGAAGGGCTGTCAAATGTGGTAATAGATGACGTTGATAGCATCAACGGTGTGTCCATTTCCACCCTTCTGGCCACAGGGATTCCTGAAATGGTATCTGCAAAATCCCAGGTACGTCAGACTCTGTATATCACTCATAAGTACTGTGTACTTAACTCATCAGAGGTTCATTTTCTCTAGAAGAGTTCAAGGTAATTAGTTGTATATAAGAACTTTGTCTCCAAGGAGAAATTCTAAATGGGAAAAATCAGTTACTCAAGCAACTGGATATGATTTTGGAAACAGACGTTTCAGGTAGCATCCACTACTATGTCAGTGACTGAGAGGTCAGAGGAGCAATGCGATTTTTGGAAGGAAAAAAAGGAAAAGAAAGAGACAAGTCAAGACAAGATGATGCAAATTAGTCAAAATGGGAAAATATTGTCAGTTAACTTTAGTACATTGGGATGTACGTCGGGATTGAGATGGTCATTGCAAGGAGGTTTGAACCCCTTTATAACTTGTTGTGGAAGAATTTGTAGATCATCAAGACACATACATGTACTGACAAGTAGATAGCACTATTATATTACATGGTTATAAGATAGAGATTTTTCCTTAGGTTTTGGCTGCTACCTATATGAAACAAGCATTCAACAAAACCAGGCAACTTGCAGAAAACCTGGAGGAAACACCGGTGGAAGTCATCCACAAAATGTCAACTGTGATGATGGCAGGTCAGTGTTGTTTTTGTTAACTGTGATGATGTTAGGTCAGAGTCGTTTGTCGAATCAAAGACAGTTTTGCATTAAAATTATTTTGTGCACTATACACTATGTGACACACACACATGCACACACGTACACACACATATGCATACGCATATATGTACACGTTCACACGCACACACACATGAACACACACGTATCCATGCACACACGTTCACACGTAGTCACACATGCGTTACTGGAAAAGGTTACAGTCCCCAGGATGGGATGTTAAGCTGTGGTCCTCTGTTCAATGTGTTTGTTGAAAAGATTTAAAATAAACCTGTAAATACTGTACGCAACTTCTGTGCAAAGAAGATTCAACATTCCAAATTTGTACTGATTTCTTGTCCAGGGTCTGTGAATGTGTTGTCAGCCTCAAGCACTATGGCTGAAAAGGAACAAGAAAGGGACAAGACTTTCTCCTCCAGTCTAGCCTATGTAAGCAACATTTGCCTTTAGTCTTACTTTTCTAGTCAGTGTGTGGTAATAAGTAAATTTAAAGTGTTCACAGTGTACTAGTATGTATGTTTTGATATTTTATACTAAATCTTGCTCTGGTCAGGTGGACTAGCAACTAGATACAGCCATCATTGTCTTTCTTTGTAGAATAAAGAGGCCACAACGACATGTTTTGAAGCCCTGGACATTATGGATGACATTTATCTCAACAAGTTGATGCCGGAATTCTCAGATCCCGAAGTCTATGCCGATTTTACTTTATCCAAGGTATCTCTTGTTTGTCTGCTTGTTTTCTTTAAAAGCGTGTCCTTTTTTGTAATAACATCCAAGCAAGTTTTAATTTGTGATATTGGTTGATGCCCAGTTTTTATATTTTTAAATTAACAAAAGATAACACTCCAGTAATTTCTGGACCACAGGATTTGGTTGAGTCATGGTTTACAAAAGTCCAAATTCCAGACGATACAGCACTAATATTTGCAAAGAATTTAGCATTAAATAAATGCCTTCCTTGGAACGATGACTTATGGTTTAGGCTATACTGAGACCACCAAAGCAACTGGATATGATTTTGGAAAAGGTCAGACATTTCAGGTAGCATATCTTTGGTCAGCGACACTGATATGCAATTAAGTGAATACAATTTTTTGATAGTCCAAAAGGAAAAAAAAAGTTAGACAAAATCAAGACATACTGAAATCAGTTCATCTCTCAGCTGCACCTCAGGATCAAACGGGAAAACCGGACGAGGCAGACGGAGAGAGTGTACCTGGTAGGCGGACACAGTGACAGTCTGGTCAGGGTTCCATCCTTCCCGGACCTACTGAAGGGTCATTGTGGGAACGATCAGGATGTGGGGATCCAGGTACTGTTACCATGATGTATCTGTATTCAGTATAGCCGGTAAAACCGCCATTAAGCATAACACACCAGCTGTGCATGACGAGATGTGCATAGGCCGTCAGCAGAACATACTGAATATCATTGAATTTTTGGGCAACGTTGCATTAGACTTTGGCTGTTGCATGACGCTATTTTTCCTGACTTAACGTTTGGAAGCTATAGAGTCTGACAGAGTGTTAACCTTATATGCGCAAATATGACCTTATATGAGACGTTCTGCCCAAGTGCTATTCACAACATATTACCGGTTTCGCACAGGTGCAGTACGTTCTACCGACATGCTGATATGCATTACCTACTACATGGCCATGAATCACACTAGAACAATAGAGACAAGTATTACCAAAAGCATGTCAAACTTGCCCAAGTGACCACCTCTATAAAGCAATAATCTGGCCATGACGACCACTTTTCATGGTTCTAATTTTTCCCATAGACGTTTCCTTAGCATTAAGGGACTTGCCTAAGACGACCACTTGTCCAACGTACATATGACGGGCACTATTTGGGACCACACATAGCTTCTCTTTTAATGAACGTGTCATTTCCAAGCTTGTGCCGGATGTAAAAATTTGTAACTTCTAAACATGGCAACATTGTTGCCACATTTACGATGATCTTCTTATTTTGGAATGTAGTTGGAGATAAATTAAATATTCATTTATTACAATCGTTGAAATGTTTACAGTTTCTGGAGTCAAACTTCAACCCTTTCGAGTACTCCAACAACTCGCGTGAGGTCCGCAGTGACGTCACGGGTCTGGGGGTGAAGTGTGGGAACCGCACACTTCCGGTTTCCAGTCTCAGCCAACCCATCGACATTTTAACCCGTAGGGAGAATGAAAGCCTTGATGGTTCCATCTATGTCTTTGAAACGTCGGCTCCAATTGGCAACCTGACAGTAAGTTGTCAATATACACTGTAATCGTTACGGTCTCATTCATGTATTACTCCGAGAGTACCCCCTATAAAAGAGTACCAAGTCAAAAACTAAACGGCTGTATGGACGTGTGTTTTTACTGGTGAGAATTTTCACTTTAGCCTGAGCCCAACTGATGTAAAATGTCAAAGTGGTGAAAGCTTGTTTGTAACTGATGAAATTGGGACGTAATTGTCGGCAGCCGCGCGCTAGGTCGGACGTGCACAGTCCATTGTTGTGAGTTGTGCGATCATAGGTTTGCAGCGCGGGAGGGCCTCTTGATGGCATCCGCTAAGTGCAGTTTGTAATTCCCATAAAAAGGGATTGTGTGTATAGAAGTCGTTGACAATATTTTATGCAATGTAGAGTAAGTGTGCTCAACATAGCATGAACGATATCAATTGAATCAGATGTAATGTAGGATCATAGGGAACACGGTCTTGTACTCATTAATGCATGGTTTCTAATGTATCGAAAAAAAAATCATGAATGAGACCTTATTGCTCAACAGTTGTGCAAGGAACAATGCAGGACATCTATTGCAAAATATTAACTTACAACAATTATGATAAGAGACATATACAGACTATATGTATGTGGTATAGGATCGATTTGGATGTGCTTTTATTGTCAGTTGTGGACTTTCTAGCGTTTAGGCTTTTTTTTTAATACTTCCGGACAATATACTAAAAGTTTATTGCAAATTCATGCCGAAGATCTAATTGCAAGAACATGATAACAAAATAAAATGTAAAAAATGATGTTAAGTAATGCTAATACTGCTTTGGATATAGTTTATAATGCATCGGTTGCCACTATAGAGGTTTTCATTCATTCATTAAATGTTGAAAATTGAATCATACCTTATAACACATCAGGTGTTCCAGTTTTTGGTTGGGAAGGAGCAGTCCACCTTAACCTTCCACCTTGACTTCAACTCCACCCGTTTTCCTCAAGACGTCTCACTGTATCTTCGCAAGGGCGGTGTGCCATCACAAGACATCTTCAACTGGACAACTGCCCTTCCTGTTCAAAAGGACCAGCTGTTCTCCATACCATGGATAAACGGAACGAACTTGACCTCTGACCCCTACCAATGGCTGCTACCAAGAGAGCAGGTTGACGTCACTGTCTATGATGTCGGAAACCTGACAAAATTCTGCATCGGTAAGCGCTATCTACTTGTAAATCCCATCTTTGGTACTGTTTAGTAGCAATACAATGCTACTATTGTATCCAGAACTGTGCTACTGTTGTATCCAGAACTTTTTTAGGTAGTTTGCCATGTATCCAAGAACGTAGAATTGCCCCGGGAATGTATGATTCTGGTTACAGTTACATCTGATTCAGCAAGTGTACAGATCAGAGGTAATCCCTGTTTGACTTTAAAAAGGCACAAAAGTTCTCCAAGAACTACAGTAATAACTAAATTATAACAATAACTTTGAATAAAATAGTATACCGTTATTAATGAGAACATCAAAGGCTGCACACATGTAATGATAACCAAAGTATGAATATGAATTATATCTTGTTTGTCATGCTTAGGTTGTAACTTATACTTTACTTATACTTTTTCATATTCTTTTAAGAAATGCAGTAATTTAGTTGTTTTGCCAATGGCAGCATGATAATCATGTACAGTAATGTTAAGCTTAGCTGGGGGAAAGGGCCACCTATCCAATTCTGTTGGTACTACAGTTAACAAATCTGCATAGTTTTAGTAGTCCATATACTATTAGCATTTGAACTATTTCAAAATATCACTAATGATGCTGATACAATTTCCATGATCACAGGTGTGCAGTTTGGATCTGGTTTGGACGTAGAAGAAGAAATTGTCCACTATTCTTTGACTGTGTTTGAGTCGTCTTGTGTTTACTTCGATGAAACCGTCCATTTGTGGCACAGTGACGGATGTGAAGTATGTCATGTTAATATATAATGTAGTTTTTGTGTTATGCCATTATTTTCAACAATCCACATGCTATCACCTTGGTTTTCACTATTTCTGTTTATTCTTGATATGAATTGTTAATTGTTCGTTAATACAAACAGACCGACCGGGCCCCAGTTTGGAAATGTGCCCTAAGCATTATCTTGTGTCATTGAAATGCTTTCTGTTATCATTATAATTCCAAACTATCCATTTTTGGTCTCTTAAAGGCCTATAGATATAAAGATATAAAGGCCTTTCCTATTCCAACAAAAGGCCACACAACTGAAGGCTACCTAACAATAAAACCAAATCGCAATTTGTGCAGGTTTTCATGAAACATTCTCAGATCTGTAAAGTATAGTGTAAAAATGCATGAGGCAACACTAAAAAGCTACAGTTGCACAGTAAATATTTCATTCCTCTTTCTTTTACATGTAGGTCGGCCCTCTCACCAACTCGACCCATATACACTGCCGATGTGACCACCTGACCAAGTTTGCGGGATTCGTTCCGCCAAACCCTCTCAACATCCAGGCGGCTCTGTCCGCTAACGTACTGGAGAACCCCGCGGGACTGCTCCTGGTTCTCTCTGTGTTCGCTGCCTACCTGTTCGGTGTACTGCTGACGAGAAAGGCGGATAGAAGGGACCTCCTGAAGGTTGGTATTTCAGGCCTCGAAATACTGCTTGCAAAATTGGAGTTGTGCACCCAATTTGTTTCTATTGGTCTATCAGTGCACCCAATTATTTTAAACATAGATTCTATGTATACTAGTGTACAGTATATTCTTGACATCTACATGTAAATGTCAGAAAAACAACAAAATTTTCGTTGTATAAGATTATTTTATATGGTGCACCGCATTTTTTTAAAATTCTTGTACCAGTGCACCTATTCCCAAAAGTTAATTTCGAGCCCTGTATTTGATGCATTTGATAGTGTATAGTTTTATAAGGCTCAGGTATGATTTCATTATCACCAGAAAAACTAAATGACAGTGTAAAAAAGATAGTATTACCAGTTTCCAAAATACGAAAGCCAACGGAAATTGCTTGAAACATGTCATAAATAAATCGAAGCATAAACCCTTGCTTGGAGAGTAGGAGTTTTTATTTTTAAAGCAATGAGTAAACGACATTTTCAGAAATGATGAATGTACTCTCATTTATATAATATATAGGCAGGAGTTGGACTGCTTCCAGGCCATGTCCTGAACCCACAGAAAGACTGTCAGTATGTCATCACTGTGTACACAGGCTTCCGGGGGAACGCTGGGACAACTGCGGAGGTAACTGTTCATCAACACACAGACACATACAAGTAGAAAACTGGCTTGCTTCTGCTGTAGCTTGTATATTCAAAGTCTGTTGTTTGTTTTCTTCTCAGTTTTTGGCGAATTTAATCATCTCTTTGTCTTATATATTAACCTTAGTTTGATTACTTGACTGTTGTATTACCCACAAAAGATCTGACAACCAGGTTTCTCCACCCGTCTTACATGTAGTTTTCTGTCCTCTTTAACATTTTTCAATAAGTGTACTGCTGGTCCATTTTCTGATATTATTCTACCATCTTTTACTTTGCCTTACCCCCCTTTCTTCCTCCCTGTGTTGTTCCTTGCATGATAGTTTTGGCTAGTCCCAATGACTGTGACACGTGGCCATACCATTTCAGTTTCCATTCTTTACTTTGGTTATGAGTTCTTTGTATGGACCGAAGTTGAAACTTGTACAAATGTGTTTTTCTTAGGTAACAATAGTCCTGAATGGACTTCAGAAGGAGAGCGTCCCGTTCAGACTGTCTGACCCACGGCGGGTTATGTTTGAGAAGGGCAGCGTGGATTCTTTTCTGGTGTCGACAGAAGAACCGCTGGGAGAGCTAACCCATGTACTAGTGTGGCACAACAACCAGGGGTACAGCCCCGGATGGTTAGTCTGTTACTTCTGGAACTTATGGAACTCCGAAGCATTGTTTTGGGTGGGTTAACGTTGTCTGTCAGGGTTTGTGTGGGTTTGTGTGGTGTGGCACAACGGTACAACAGGGGTACAACTATAGTATAGTGTTGTTTCTGTTTATTATTATTATATATACAGTAGGCCACGCCGACTTAATTTTATGGATGACATCTTTTGAAGACTCCCAAACTAGTGCGCGCGGGCGAATAAAAAAGATAAAAATGCTACTAGAGGGGCTAAACCACAGGAATACAAAGCTGGTATTATGAATTTGCGGCAGTACTTAACGACGTATAAGGCAAGCCGGCACATGCTGGCTTTTTGCGGAATTTATGACTCGGTTCTTGAGTCGTGGAGCTTCAGTAGCCTGGGTGCCCGGCTGCATATTGTTGCTAACTACCATGGACTACCCAGGCCTAGAGCCAGGTCGATAAACGTGATCTTTTTTTTTTTTTGAGGGCGACAGGCGAAAATTAATGCGCGCTCGGATGTTATCCATGAAATTAAGATGGTGTGACTTTATGTCTGTTACCTCTGTGTATGGAAGTATAATTGTTTTGGGTGGGTTGTCTGTGAGTCTGTGTGGGTTGGAGAACTCACCCATCTGCTATTGTGGCACATTGTTATAACCAGGAGTACAGTTCCGGATGGCTATAGTGTTGTTTATGTCTGTTACTTCTGTGTATGGAAGTATTGTTTTGGGTGGGTTTGTGGGTTTTTTGTGTGCGTTGGAGAACTCACCCACGTTCAGGTGTGGCACAACAAACGGGTACAACCCTGGATGGGTAATCTATAGTACTGTTTTTGTCTGTTACCTTTGTGTATGGAAGTATTGTTTTTTTTGGGGGGGGGGTAATCTGTGGGTTTGTGTGTGTAGGAGAACTCACCCATCTGCTAGTGTGGCACATTGTTACAACCAGGAGTACAGTTCCGGATGGCTATAGTGTTGTTTATGTCTGTTACTTCTGTGTATGGAAGTATTGTTTTGGGTGGGTTTGTGGGTTTTTTGTGTGCGTTGGAGAGCTCACCCACGTTCAGGTGTGGCACAACAAACGGTTACAACCCTGGATGGTTAATCTATAGTACTGGTTTTGTCTGTTAACTTTGTGTATGGAAGTATTGTTTTTGGGGGGTGTGGGTTATCTGTGGGTTTGTGTGTGTAGGAGAACTCACCCATCTGCTAGTGTGGCACATTGTTACAACCAGGAGTACAGTCCCTGATGGCTATAGTGTTGTTTATGTCTGTTACTTTTGTGTTAATTCCGGAGTATTGTTTTGGGTGGATTGTCTGTGAATTTGTGTGGGTTTCAGAACTCAATCAACTGGCACATCAACCAGTGGTTAGTAACAGTCCTGGTGGATGGTTTAAGTGTTTTATCCAGAACCGTGCCTTTCTATTTTTATGTCTGAATGGGTTGAGACTAGGATCAGGCAATTGTCCAAGATAGTCTACAGTGTTGCTTCCTCTACGTACTAAATCAACTTGTGTAAATCTGTGGAATCAAATCGCAAATTTACATAGTACTACATATTGACATGTGACAATGCATGCATAATGGACAATATTTGTTAAAAAGGACAATATTTGTTGAAAATGCTTAGAACACTACAGATTGTCATCCCAGAAATACATCATATAGGGAGGCTACACTTTTGAAAGTTATGATTATACTCTTTTAGCACACTTTTTTATAATAAATAATAAATTATGTTTTTCACAGGTTTTTGAGCCAGATTGTGGTGACAAACAGAGCAGGGAACAACTCTACATATTTCCTGTGCAATAGGTGAGTTCCTAACACCGAGAAAGGATATGGTTTGCAAAGCTAATCATTGATTTACAGATGCAACTGCAAAGTTCTAGCTACATGTAGGAATCCTGATGGTGGGAAGAAGATGCCGGTGTACTCTTGTTTTAAATGATTGGAGGTTGTTGTCAGTGATCAGGCCGACCACGTTGTCTGGAAGACTGTTCCAGATGTGTACTGCAGTATGTATGAAAGTTCTGCCGGAAGAGTGAGTTCTAGAGACTGGCACAGTGAGGGCATTTTTTCCAGCGAAGAGACTGTTGCGAGTTGTGCAACTGATTGTGAATTTGGTTTCTCAAGAAATATTAGTATGAAGCATGCAATAAAACGTTGGCTAAGCTGAAAGTCAAGGTTTTTTGTTCTTTAATTGTTGTTTTTTCTTTCACTAAAGATGGCTTTCTGTGGAGAAAGATGACGGAAAAGTCCAGCGGATCATCCCAAGAGCAGTGCCAGAGGACTTGCAGAAGTTTCGTAACTTGTTCCTGGCAAAAAGTGCAAGGTACTGTTTTAATACCAGGACACGTGACTTTATGCACGTGTGACATCATCAAGTGTGTCGAAGGTCGTGGTAAGATCTAATAAAGTTTCCCTAGAACACAGTAATAGCACCTTTTAGGGAACCATTCGAGAGAAAATTGTCTCTTTTTGTTTCAACCAAAACACATTGTTGATAAAGAATGGGTGATTACTATGACTATGGCTTAGCGGCAAAGGTAATAAGGCCAGAACAATCATTGCGTGAATGGATCCATGCAGGCAACAAGGCAACAATGGGCCATTCTGCCTTGCCAGATTTGCCATTTTACTAAATTGTCGCTAGATGGCGTTGTTGTGAAGATGGTGCTATTTCGTCACATGTCGCTAGATGTCGCTTTCGACTTCAAAATATCAGCAATTGTAAGAGTATTAGGCATAGATTCAGAGTAAAACAGTATAACTTAAGATGATATGAGAAAGGGCAATCAATAACATTGTGCTTTCACTGGCACACACACAATCAGATTGAGAAATAATGAGTATATGCAACCGCTGTCGCCGCCCCCTCCCCCCTCCTTGAAATGGCGACCGTACACTCAAGTTTTCACAACTTACTTTTATGCCCCCACCAACGCAGACAACATGGACAACAGACATACTCATTTTCACTTGAGTTAAGTTGGGAAATTTGTGTAAACTGCCTTTCCCAAGGGTACGAGATTGGTGGCATAGCAGGGTTCAAACCCGGGACCTCTTGGTTACCAGGTGAACACAAATTTACACCACATGACCCCACATAAGGTTCCCAAGATTACCATTTCCTGTATGTCCAGGGACATGAATGACGGCCACCTGTGGTTCTCCGTGGCGGGCCGCCCGGCACGCAGCCCGTTCACCCGAGTCCAGCGCCTGTCCTGCTGCCTGACGCTGCTCTACAGCACCATGGTCACCAACATCATGTTCTTCGGCCGTGGGGACGACTTCGACCCGCCGGAACCACTCAGATTCGCCGGGACAGAGATCAACCCACCCATCTCACTACCACAGGTATCTGGAACTCACTCATTCACTCATTCATTCATTCATTCACTCATTCATTCACTCGTTCATTTACTCACTCATTTATTCATTCATTCACTCACTCATTCATTCAATATCATTCATTCATTCACTCATTCATTCACTCATTCATTCATTCATTCACTTATTCACTCATTCATTCACTCATTCATTCAATCATTCATTCACTCATTTATTCACTCATTCATTCACTCATTCATTCACTCATTCATTCACTCATTCATTCAAGGGTTGCAGTTTCATTTATTCAGTCAAGTAAGCCACTATCATATCCAGAATCTATTTCTGTGCCTCAATGGGTTAGGAGTAAGATCAGGTAGGGTTCTGGATTACATTCATTCACTCATTCATTCATTCATTTATTTATTCATTCATTCATTCATTCACTCATGATTGATTCATTCATTCAATCATTCATTCTATTTATTCATTCATTAAGTACCACTGGTACAAGAACACAACAGAATACACTATACTATGCTAGATACATAGCAGTTATGGTTAGGGACCGCCCTTTCAGTACCAAGGACATTGCCTTAAGTTTGTAAACTACAAGTAAGCCACTATTGTATCCAGAATCTATTTCCATTCTTGAATGGGTTAGGCGTAGGATCAGGCATGGTTCTGGATTGTCTCCGCCTATCCAAGAATGTAGATGTACTCCAGGTAATACACAGGGACTGTCCAGCAGCATGCCTGAGCATGGTTCCAGTTAAAGGCATCCAATGCGATTTCAGAGCAGCAAAACTGGAAATATTCTGAATAAGGCAATCTTTGTGATATTGACACATACTGCTTCACCTTAGCACATTTAAGTCAGCATTTCATACTTTGGGCATTCAAAACAGCAGAAACAAGCCCCAAGATTAGCCCTGGGCCCTTCCAGTAACCATTTTCCATCAGAATTGTGAGAATTTTTTATACATGAGGGTCAATACACATTGGGATAGTGTGGTTTCAACTCCGTATGTAGATAAATAACTAGAATATTGGCTTTGAAAAATCGGGTTTCCAAGCCCTAAAATGCACTGGGTGCCTTTAAAGCACAGTTCTGAATACAACAGCCACTTGGTGAAAGCTCGGAGCAATAGATTGACATCTTTATTTCCAAGCTCTGAGAGATATGAGTGCATCAAAGGAGGAAGATTCACTTTTTGCTTTACATTTAAGAAACTACCTAGTACCTAGAATTTAAATTTTCTTTATTATTTGTATTTGCAATTGTTTTTGAAAAGTTGTGAAAAAATTGTATCCCATTCAGGTATGTGCCCCATGCACATCACGCTCTCCCCTCTCTATGAACATTTTGAGTCTAGAGCAATACATAATTGATATATGACTTTTTTAATATGATTTCAGATCATGATTGGCATACAGAGTGCAGCCATCATCCTGCCGGTTAATGTGCTCATAGTCTTCCTGTTCCGTAACTCTGGTCAGCGGTTGACAAACCAAACAGAAAAGAAGGGGGGTTATGACAGGACCAAATCATCATTGCCCTGGTGGACTGTTTACATAGGTACATGTATTTACAGATATTGTGCTGCTATTTTCAAATGTTTCCTGCGGAAATGGTAGTTTAAAGGTATTTGTTATTTAATCCCTTTTGTCATTTATTCTCTTGATGAAGCTAAATATAACTTAATTCAAACATGAGGGTACACAGGGATTAAATTTTCAACAACCCCTGTTGCCTTATAAATATAGCAACAGTTGTTGGAATAAAGTTCATCATTGTTACTCCATAATATACCATGATTACTACCATGTGAACACAGATGGACTTCCATGATAATTTCAGAACTTTCTTCCTGCATGGTTTCATCTTTATTCTCGCCTGCAGGCTGGCTGCTTGTCTGGTCTGCGAGCTTCGTGGCTGCGTTCTTCACCGTCCTGTACAGCCTGAGTTTCGGCCGTGAGAAGGCGGAGGCCTGGCTTTGTGCCTTTCTCACGTCGTTTGTCACCGACTTGTTCCTCATGCAGCCCTTCAAGCTCATCATCGTGGCCGTCATTTTTTCTTTGATATCAAAGGTATCGTATTAACTTGTAACTTTTACGGAAAACATATTGTTTTCGCTCTGTTTCTTCTTCCTCTTCATTTCCAAATACGTAAGGTCAATGACCTGGAGCATTGTCTGTCACCATGGTAACTGGTGCTGTAGAAGACACCCTGTGGTGTTTGGTTGCATTACCTGCATGTATGTAGTAGGACAGAGCTGGAGGGGCTGGTCACCATGTATTAGTATATGAATATGTTTGAGTAATAATAGGTCAGTAGTGTATTTGGCTAGACCCTGTGAAGGTAAACATTCTGCATTTACTTTTTAAAAGTTACCTTTCTAGTTTGTTTGAAATTCAACTGTTACTCTAGTTACCTTTCACTTATGAATGGCAATTTCAGTGAGGCAAAAAAATATTGACATGAGTTGCAAAGGCACGTTTGAAAGGCGCTCAGTGATGTGCTAGATGTAAAACAGCCTAGATGTCATTCCATTGTGTTCTGCCAGAGGGCGCTTATGCTGATGAGAAAGTCTGTCCCGTCAGTGGGGATGCAGTCTGCCATCTCTGATTGCCTTATTGCCTCTGGCTGATATATTGTAAGCTTCTTCATGCCATGATGTTTAATTGATGATGTTTAAAACTGAAACAGAAACCAGTAGAAGATGATGATCCGCCAACAGAACCGCTACAGTCTGATGAGGAATTTCTGCAGTCCAAAGAAGAACAAGGCAACTCTGATGATATGGTGCGTCATCTTTCAGTGTCTTATCTTATAGTGTCTTACTGGCTCTTGCTTTATCTTATAGTGTCTTACTGGCTCTTGCTTTATCTTATAGTGTCTTACTGGCTCTTGATTTATCTTATAGTGTCTTACTGGCTCTTGCTTTATCTTATAGTGTCTTACTGACTCTAGCTTTACCTTATAGTGTCTTACTGGCTTTTGCTTTACCTTATAGTTTCTTACTGGCTTTTGCTTTACCTTATAGTGTCTTACTGGCTCTTGATTTATCTTATAGTGTCTTACTGGCTTTTGCTTTATCTTATAGTGTCTTACTGGCTCTTGATTTATCTTATAGTGTCTTACTGGCTCTTGCTTTATCTTATAGTGTCTTACTGACTCTAGCTTTACCTTATAGTGTCTTACTGGCTTTTGCTTTACCTTATAGTTTCTTACTGGCTTTTGCTTTACCTTATAGTTTCTTACTGGCTTTTGCTTTACCTTATAGTGTCTTACTGGCTCTTGATTTATCTTATAGTGTCTTACTGGCTCTTGCTTTATCTTATAGTGTCTTACTGGCTCTTGATTTATCTTATAGTGTCTTACTGGCTCTTGCTTTACCTTATAGTTTCTTACTGGCTTTTGCTTTATCTTATAGTGTCTTACTGGCTCTTGCTGTGTATTATAGTGTCTTAATGGCTCTTGATTTATATTATAGTGTCTTAATGGCTCTTGCTTTATCATAGCATCTTACTGACTCTAGCTTTATCTTAAAGTGTCTTTCTTTATCTCACAGTACATTACATTATTGAATCTTTTTCACTTTACCATATAGTGTCCTTTCGTATCTTATGGTTTCTTGCTTTATCTTGCAGTTTCTTACGTTATTTTTTTACAATTTTGTTTTACTTGCCATATGGTGTCTTTTTATACGTTATAGTGTCTTAATTGCTTCAAGTTATGATGTCGTGCTTTCTCTCATAGTGTCTTATTTTATTTTACAGCCTCTTACTTTATTTGATAGTGTCTAAGCTTTACCTTATCACGCCTAACTCTAGATTCGGTCAGGACGTTTTTATTTATTTTCTTTCAGATGATGAAAACTTACTGCACATCCAAACTGTGGAGGTCAGCTTTAGGATGGAGGCATTACATCTTTTTATTTATTTATTTATTCATCTTAGGACGTATGGGTTGTCCCTTCAGCCCCAAGGGGCTGATTTCCAAGGGAGCCCAATTACAATGACAAATAACATATAAAATACAAAAGTAATATAACATAAGTAAATTAACATAAATTATAAATTATATAAAAATACAATAATAATCGATGGTCATTATGGTCATTATGGAGGTCAGAGGTCAAAACTTAGGAGATAAGAAAACATATGATAACTGAGAGGTCAAATTTCAAACTTAGGAAATAATAAAACATATGATAATAACTGAACGTAGAAGTAATGAATCATATAAACAAATCAATCAAAGTAATGAAACGTAACAAATCATCGTTGTCAGTAAATCGTCATTAGGTAATCAGGTGTCAGATCGGTTCAGTTTTCAACCTGTCTTTAAAAGCTTTAAGTGTGGGTGCTAGTCTCAAGTTACAGTTTAGTGAGTTATAAGTTACTGTTGCTCTGTATGCAAAGGTACGTTGACCTGCTTTTGATGTGTAATTGGGTCTGTGTAGGAGATGTGATTGTCTAGTGTGGTAGTTGTGGATTTGATTATTATAATTAAACGTGTTGAGTAGATAACTTGGGGCTAATCCATGGAGACATTTGTACACCATGACACAGACATGGCGTGTTCTTCGGACTTGCAGTTGACTCCATCCAAGTGCCTGGTGCAGTTCCCCCACATTAGACCTCGCGTCGCTTCGTAGGACGATTCTAGCAGCCCTGTTCTGCAACACTTGTAGTCGCTGCTTGTAGGTTGTACTACTGTACATCTGGAGGGAGAGGCCGGCAACTCTCGGGGTACAAAACATACAAGTGCGTATGTCCCTCACATGCTACTGTAGAATATCATAAAGGACAAGGTTATCAAAGATTTATTCCTGCAATCTAGATGAGGTCTAGGAGAAAAGATATTGTGTTTCCTGTTTCCCGACCGACCGTCTAGAAAAAAACTGCGAACCCTAGCCCTTTTTTGTGGACCACTGAGAGGAATATGAATTTTTTTAGCTGACCGACCTTTTCCAACATTGACGTTGAAAGTAGAAGTCTGCTCATGCAAGTTTTACTCTGATAAACTGTATGGTATAAGTTGGATCACCAGAGATCGGCAAAGTCTAAAAAAAGAAGAAGACAGAAAAAGATAATCCCTACCTACCGACCCTAGTTGTTTCAGGACTGAAACATGAAACATGAAACACAGCATTCTTTTCCTTGGCCTTATACCCATTGCCTTGATATCTAAATTCAGCTCATTACTTCCATGCATGGAAGTATTGTTTTGGGTGACTCGTAGGTTTGTGTGTTTGCTTGTCCAAGTAGCGGTGGTTACATGGAGGGAGGGATGTGATTTTGACAGTGGGTGGTATATGGAGGAATTCAGGCAGTTTCATTTTTTACGGTAGACTCCCGATTCCGGCCATTCCAACTCCCCACCAGATGAATCCAGTCTGGCCGATCAGCGACGGAAGAGCGCAGAGAAACTCAAACAGCGCGCCGCTGTCCTGGAGGTCCTCATGTTCGGGTTTTTCATCATCATCATCATGGCGGCCTCCTACAGTGAGAGAAGCCCCATGGCGTTCTACATGACTCAGAATGTGGAGAGACAAATCCTTGGTGCCGGTGATGTTGGATTCTTTGAGGTAATTCACGTATACTTACGTATGTAGACTCGTGCTTTCAAAATAATCCCCAAGCAGATCCCTTTCGGTTGAAAAAGACAGTATCAAATTGGCCAGGCAGTATCCATTAGCCAGAGAAGGTCGCCGGCCACTGACGGTGGGGATGGCGACAAAAAAAACCCGGCCATATACTAGTATAAAAAGTTAACGATCATTCCCCCACAACCTCTGCTTGGAGTACTTTCAAAAGCCTTTTTGTTATAATTATTATCATATAGTGATATTGTTTCATTTGTTTTGCATAAAGTTATCTATTAAATATCGACATCGTTTATCTTTTTGAATAAGCTTATTTTGTGTTTAGTTGCTGGGTCTATATTTACAGTTGCAGATCTATCGCGCCATACATTTGAAATTTGAACAGTATGTAATATACCAAGGTGGTGAATACCATCTTGTTTGCAAAATGATCTATAGCAATAATATCTATGTCAGATCCGTGACATCCCGTCATGTTGGACCTGGATAACAACTGGGTTGCTGCCTGCCGTCCATGCGGTGAGCTGGTACAACGGCAGGGGGGCTCCAGACGCCACAGTACTGCCTGACATGGTCTCCTACCCACTCGGGCCGGTACAGCTTCGACTGGTGCGGCTTACACCAGGTGAGATCTGAGGAAAGACTTGAAGGAAAGAACCTTGATGATCTTTCATAGTTTCCAATGAACTTTCCATGATATCACGGTAATACATGTATTTTAATAATCCTCATGGTCTTTTGATGACCCTGGGGTCTAATGAACTAAAATACATATCTATGTAGCACTGTTATGTTTTGTGATATAACCATACAGTTAACTCTCCAGTGTCACTGACGAAAGGTAGTGGATGCTACCTGAAACGTCTGTTTCTAAAATCATAACTGCTTTTTGGTACTAACTCAATCACAGTCACTTTTTTCTAGATTAAAAATTTTCAGTATGCAATCGGTGCCGATACTACTTGTCGGACACCTTTGACCTTTTGTTGATGTTACTCTGCCATGTGACTTAGAATTTGGGTCATTTTAACTTCAGAAGGGAAAACATGTTGATAAGAGACCGAAAACTTGTTGATAAGCACAGATAACATTTGTGCATGTAATACTATGTAAAGTTTTAAATCTTTGTAAGATTGTACAATTATTTTTATTTCATAGGGCGACACTGTGAACCGCCCAAACCAATGCTGAACGTGACAACACGCTGTAGTGTACCGTTCTCCCTCAGTCTGGCAGACACACAGAACTACACCTCAGGATGGGCTCCACTCAACACGACAGTCAACACGACTGACGACAGCCATGTTTGTGACTCTCCCAATGCTCAGAGATTTCCTCGATTGTATGACTGCGATGGTAACACAAGCCCATGGACACACACCTCTGTTTCACTCACTGACGGTTAGAGTTTTGAAATCACTTTTTCACACCAAACAATTTGATATAATGTAATCTGTCGTGTGCTAATCTTTAGCCTGCCAATGGCAGGGAGCGGATTTTGGGAGCGGACTAAAAAGCTAACAAGGCTGGACACCAGGCTAGCTATTCACCAAAAATGTTTTTTTAAGTTCCTGGTAGAATTTTTTGTAGTAATTGTTGTTAATTGCACAACAGAAATTTAACATGTTCTGATAAAAAAGGTCTTCAACTAACAAGATTTTCTTGTCACGTAGTAGCTTTTCTAGGTACTGCAGAACTTCTAGCTTTTGTATCTCTTGTCCTGGATTCCAAACCCAGATGGGAAAAAAGTCTCCGCCAGGCTTGTATTGGCTTGTACAGGACTATGAGCAATGTTTGTGCTTGACGTAACTGATTAATTTTGTTCCATTTGTTCACAGATTTTCCGTACTTCGGAATGCATGGCTCCTACATTGGCGGAGGCTACGTTACCCGGCTCGGGACAACAAACGAGGCTACCTTCCTTAAACAGCAAAACTGGTTGGACGAAAACACCCGGGCACTTTTCATAGAGCTCATCCTGTACAACCCACACGTGAACTTGTTTTCAGTCGTCTCATTGGTCGTTGAGTTCACCAATCTCGGATCAGCTTACAAGAGTTCAGAGGTCATAACCGTGCGCCTCATTCAACATGACGCCATCTTGCTTCTCCTCCTGAGAGGGGTACTGGCTCTGTTTCTTTTCTACTTCGTTCTTCGTGAAGGTAAGGGCGACTCAAAGATTTTTCACTGTCAAATAAATGATTTTGTTAACTGCTTCCTTACTACAAAGAAAAAACCACAAGAATTGTAAATTTTATCTATAATACTATGATAATCATTACTTCACCACAGATGAATATGGTGAAGTAAATGAGTACTGTATTGTTATTATGTTAATGGATTGTGTGCGTGTCTGTCTATCTGTGTTTCTATAGCCTGGTGTCGATCCTAGTCTAACTCCGGTCAACTTTTCTGATCGTTTTGCCACAGAGTATAGTATACTGCAAGAAACAGCTAGCCTGGTACCATCCTGGTTAGTTTATGTCCGCTCCCACAGTCGCTCCCACCAACGACTCATTTTACCCATGCTAAAACTTAGCCATCGGAGGAGCCAAAAGTTAGTGTAGAACGGTCACCAGGCTAGACGTCGTCCTTTTGAAGTGCAGTTTCTTTATATTCTGCCAGAGGGCACTAATTCATGAGGGTGGTTAGATTTGCTGTCTCTGATTGCCTTGTATTTCTGATGTGCCCTAGGAAAGTCGTTGTTGTCTCGGCCACTGGAGTACCTGTGCGAGTTCTGGGGCTGGGTGGAGCTTCTGGTCATCACCATCGGTTTCTCCACGCTCGGCATTTACTTCCACACACAGAACATCATAGACGAGGTGGCAGAACAGCGCAGAAATGGCAACTCGGTCTTCCAACTGTACAAAAGCGCCGTCAGCTGGCTCCAAGTCTCTACATACCTACAGGGGCTTCTCATCAGCTTCGCCACCTTAAAGTCTATCCGCCTTCTGCGCTTCAACTCTCACGTGCACGCCTTGTCTGTCATCATGGGAAAATCCCTTAAACCAATCACTAACTTCATGTTTACTGTAGCTATCATTTTGATGGCTTTCATCCTACTGATGGCTTTGACCCAAGGTGCAAGTAGCAATGAGTATAAGAGCATAACTTCTACTCTACAAAGTCTGTTGCTTATGATGCTAGGTAGTTTTGACTTTGATGCCCTGTCCTCCGGGCATAGAATACTTGGTCCGTTAGCGTTCTTTTTGTACCAGGTTGTCGTACAGTTTATTTTGTTGAGTATTTTCATGGTGATCCTTTTTGATGTGTATGAAAACGAAGACATGACGACAAATCCGTACGATCTTAGGTTTGCTTCATTCTTAAAGGAGGCGGCATCAGAGGCAGCCAAGAAGGTCAAAGACACTTCGTCCAAGGTCAAAAGAAACAGACCGAAGATGGAAAGACGTTTTTCCACAGAAATGATCCCAAAAATAAACCGTGGCTTCAGTGAACTGAAGTGGTGAAATTTTATTCACAATTCGTAGAACTATGTGGCCAAAACTTAAACATATTGCTTGGCAGAGTTTACCACTTGGGTCTTTGCTTAGGCCATGTTGATTTGATTATATGGATGACATCCTCTGGGAACCCCAAAACTGATGCGCGCGTGCGAATAAAAAAAACGTTTTGCAAAAAAAAGTTGCTTTCACTATGAAAACTACGTGGTCATGAAGGTTGAACAAATGGCACAGAATATGTTATGGCGAATAATCTACTCTTCGAATACATTTCTTTACATTTTTGTCTTTTATCCTTTGATTTTGGCATTCTACGACATTGGTATCGTTTCTAAATGTTTTCCTTGCAACTTATGGTATATTTTGCTCATTTAGCAACTGTTTTGCACGATTTACAGTATGGTTGAAACCTTTTTTTTTTGGAAACGGCCGAAAATTCATGCGCGCGCGGATGTCATCCATATAATCAAATCAACATGGCCTTAATAAATCTCATTTGTTTATTTGTTCATAATTTGAAGCCAAGTCTTCAAAGTATACAAAGCATAAGTCGGCAGAATGATACATATAGATAGATAGAATTAGAGAGTAGCATTTGTTTTATCTGACATCACTGACATATTATATGTGTATTGTAATGTATGTATATAGCACAATATTGTAAGCAATTTTCTATGCTGTGACGTCGGTAGCGGTGTTTTCAATAGATACATATAAATCTGTGCCACCTGTAAATCTG